TTTGACTCACATTGATTTCCTGTGCGTGGGTTTGTTACCTTCTAGGTTAATTCTTATGAGCTAACCTTTTCTCTAGTTCCTGTTCCCTTAGTTCCTATTGCCTCAGTTGGCTTTAAGTTACATCTGCTTTAAGTTTCTCTGCTTAAGGGCAACAAATTAGCTTAGTTTTTAGTGTCTACCTATCCTCCACCCCTCCCTTTGTGTGCTCTCGCTTTTATTCATGTGCTATAGTTCCACACTCCCTTGTTGTGGTTTGCCCTTGATCTAATGTCCACATATTTGAGGGAGAACATACGATTTTGGTCTTTTAGCCAGGTAACCTCACTCAGAATGATGTTCTCCAATTCCTCCATTTACCAGCGAATGATAACATTTCGTTCTTCTTCATGGCCTGCATAAAAATTCCATTGTGTATAAGATACCACATTTTCTTGATCCATTCATCAGTGCTGGGCATCTTTGGCTGTTTCCATAAACTTGGCTATTGTGAATAGTGCCGCAATAAACATGGGATGTGCAGGTGCCTTTGAGTAACGTCTTTTGGGTATATCCCAAGAGTGGTATGCTGGATCAAATGGTAGATCGACTGTCCAGCTTTTTAATAGCTCCAAATTTTTTTCCAGAGTGGTTGTACTAGTTACATTCCCACCACAGTGTAAAGAGGGTTCCTTTTTCCCCGCATTCCTCGCCAAACACCTGTTGGTGGTGTTGCTGATGATGGCTATTCTAACAGGGGTGAGGTGCGAATCTTAGTGTGGTTTTAATTTGGCATTTCTTTATTGCTAGAGATGGTGAGCATTTTTTCATGTGTTTTTCTGGCCATTTGAATTTTCTTCTTTTGAGAAAGTTCTGTTAGTTCACATGCCCATTCTTTATTGGTTCATTAGTTTGGGAGAATTTAGTTTTTTAAGTTCCCTGTATATTTCTGGTTATCAGTCCTTTGTCTGATGTATAGCTGGCAAATATTTTCTCCCCACTCTGTGGGTGTTCTCTTCAGTTTAGAGACCATTTCTTTTGTTGAACAGAAGCTTTTTTAGTTTTATGAGTCCCATTTATCTATGCTATCTCTTAGTTGCTGTGCTGCTGGGTTCATTGAGAAAGTTCTTACCTATACCTACTAACTCCAGAGTATTTCCTACTCTTTCTGTATCAACTTTAAGAGTTTGGGTCTGATATTAAGATCCTTGATCCATTTTTGAGTTAATCTTGGTATAGGGTGATATACATGGATCTAGTTCAGTTTTTTGCAGACTGCTAACCAGTTTCCCAGCAGTTTTTGTTGAAGAGGCTGCTATTTCTCCATCGTATATTTTTAAGTCCTTTGTCAAAGATAAGTTGCTCATAGTTGTGTGGCTTCATATCTGGATCCTCTATTCTGTTCCACTGGTCTTCATGTCTGTTTTTTGTGCCAGTACCATGCTGTTTTATTGTTATTGCTTGTAATATAGTTTGAAGTGTCAGGTATTGTGATACCTCCTGCATTGTTCTTTTGACTGAGTATTGCCTTGGCCGTATTCGGGACCTCTTGTGGTTTCCAGATATAAATTTTCACAGTAGGATTTTTTTCAATCTCTGTAATTGAATTGTGCATTGGGAATTTTTGGATGGGAATTTGTATTTTCCAAAAAGTTCTTTGACTTTTATGCCGGGGTTTGGCCTGGAACCAAGGATACTCCTGAGTACTGTACATGGAGATTGTGTGTGGGTGGTCTCGTGAAGTTTTTTTGTCCAGGCTGGAAGCTAGAACAGTGATCCTCCTGAATTCTATGCCTCTTGAGTCGCTAGATTACAGGTGTGAGCTACTATGGCCAGTCCTCATGTGAATTTAGTGAATGAAACACACAAAGTACTTAAAATGGTTCCTGGACAAAAAAAAAACACCTCTACGGAAATGTTAGTTTCTTATTAACCGACGTACAGCCCAAATGCCAGCAGTATTTGTTGGACTTTCTCTGTAAGCGCAGCACGCCTTTGTCTCTGTTTCTGACTAGACTTTCCTGTGGTAATGTGTTGCCAACACTTATGTTGAGACACACTGTTCGCAAACTCCTAACTTCAATAAACATACAAATCAGAACACAAAATCTGTTTTGCGAGAAAGGCTTTATTTTAAATATACAGGCCAGTTGTTTCTTTTCTTCATGATTCTTGGTATAATACTTGTTCCGGGCCCCTGATCTTTTAGTATATTGGACAAAAGGATAATAACTAATGGCTTGTTTAGTGCTTTATTGTTAATATGGACCTAGATAGTGAGGGAGAAAGGGGAAAGAGGGCAGGATGGGCAATAGGGGTATTGCTCAGTGTAGAGCACAATTACAAAAATAAAAATAACAGAGAGAGAGAAAGAGAGAGAGTAGACGAGATTGCAGAGAAAATGCCTCTTGGATTGAATACAGTCCATTAAAAGTGGCAAAGCTAGAATGGATCATTAGGAATCTGAATTCAAAAATCTTGTGCCTTCCCCTCTGCCCCACATTTTCTTGTATTCATTAACTTCTTGCATCCCTTAACGTATTAGATCTGAAAAGAACCCACTTCCCTTCAACTGTGGGAATTGTTCCAGTATAATATATAATAACTTGTAGGTGCAGAAAGGCCTGTAGGTGCCTCACATACTTCTCTCTCTTGAGCTCTTGAGAAACTGCTGCCCATCCAGCAGTCCTTGAGCTCTGGTTTCAGTATCCAGAAGACACGAGTCTTGTTCCTTGAAGGTAAAGAGGAGGAAGCCAAGGAAGAAGTCAGAGGAAAAGCCCTTGTTGTTTTATTAAATGGATCTTTGTGTCTACTTACAGCACTCAAATTCTCTTCTCAAATGTAATGTACATATGTTTGATTAGTCAACTTTTCAAGGGCAAACAGTTGGTGATTTTATTGAAAACAAAGAGTGGTCTTCTGAAATCTCGTTAATGTACATCTGTACTAGCACAACTTTGTAGTCTGGAATGATGAAGTTTTTCATTGGTAACAAGAAGTGCCCAGAAAAACAATCTAATAGCTCTCCATATGAATTTATTAGAATTGTGAAAATATGTACGGTTAGGGCAGGATACACACCAGAAGAGATGTGGATACGTGACTATAGGTCACTGAACGTGGTTATAAAGGTAGAAAGGGCATTTCAGAGTTACATCACAGGTAAGAAGAAGGGTGGGATTTTTATTTATTTATTCAACACATATATGCTTTGTCTACTGAGTGCTGGGTGAATTCTGAGCTTTTAATTGAATTTGTTTTAGATTTAGGTCGAAACTTTCACTTTACCCTTAAAGCAATGACTATTTCTAAAATGATATTTTCCATGGTGATCAATTTTAGTAAAATCTCTATAGGTTAGTGTAAAAATAAAAAAAATAGAGAAACATTTCCTGATTTGTTTTATTTTGTTGGTTTTTTTTTTTTTTTTCTTTTTGAGTCAGAGTCTTGCTAGAGAGCCTGGACTAGCTTCAAACTCACTATTAAGCCCCGGCTGTCCTTGAATTCACAATCCTCTTGCCTCAGCCTCCTGTGTACTGGGATTACAGGTGCACCCACATGCCTGGTTTGTTTATTCATCTTATGGAAATAATAGCAGTTTCTTTGTTCTCTATAGACTATTAATGTACACAATTTTTGATATATATGGATAACAGTGTGAGTTGTGTGTTTCAGCAGAAACTATAATTCAGAAACAAATATGTTTTGTAATGAAAATGCTGATTCTGTCATGGTGAGTGGCTTCCTTCTTACTCAGTGTCAATCTGCTTTCCTTGCAGGGTCTTGTGCTTGTAGGTCAGTCCTGGCTGAAAAGTGGGGCTACTATAAGATTATCTTAATTTCTTTCTACTTAGAAGGAGCGGCCTCCATTGTCATGTTACTTCTGGGACAGGAATACTACTACTGTTTGGCATTCTATATCACTGTTGTCATGTAAGTAGTGTGCAGTGCGATCTCAGGGTTAGCCAGGTCCTGCCATCCACTTTCATCCGTGAAGCATCTATGACGGGGCCAGGGCTGACTGCCTATTTCCTTCCTGCTGTGGCACCTTTCTGCATGTTGTTGAATGCCAACAGCTTGTTTTTTTTTGAAGGCATTTCATATACTGAATTCGGTAGGAAAGTTAAGTTGCTTTGTTAAAACCCTGTGTGGGGCTGAGGGGGTGGCTCAAGTGGGAGAATGACTGCCTAGCAAGTGTGAGGCCTTGAGTTCAAACCCCAGTAGCCAACAAAAACAAACAAACCTCTTTTAGTAAGCATTTAGTAAACACTGTTGCCAAGTATAAAGAAGTATTCCTCCTTCAACTCTTCCACCTAGTTCTTTTAAAAAATTATTTGATTAGCATGTATTAATTATACATATTAAAGGAATACATGTCTCAATATACGTATATAGTGTGCACTTATTACAGCCAGCCTCCCTTTATCCGCCCCCACCCTCCTCTAGTGGTCACTAGTCTACATTCAGGTTGACTCTTCTGGTTTTTAACTTTCATATATGAGAGAAAATGTACTGTTTGTCTTTCTGAGTCTGGCTCCTTTCATTTAAAGTAATATCCTCCTGTTCTATCCAATTTGCTTCATATAACAGGATTTCATTCTTCTTTATGGCTGAATAATATTCCTCTGTGTGTGTGTGTGTGTGTGTGTGTGTGTGTGTGTGTGTGTATGTAGACATATACATACATACTACGTTTCTATTCCATTTGTCTGTTGATTGTCATCTCAGGCGATTTAATATTTTAGCTATTGTGAATAGTGCTGCAGTAAACCACGAAGTGCAGGTTTCTCTTCGACGTGTTGATTTTATTTCTTTTGGATATATACCCAGAGTGCGATTGCTGGATCATATGACATTCTAGGATCATATGTTTCTAGTTTTTTGAGGAGCCGCTATAATGTCTTCTGTAGTGACTGTTCTTATTTACATTCCCTCCAATAGTGTATGAGAGCTCTTCTTTCTACACATCGCCAGCATTTATTTTTCCCATTTTGATAATAACTATTCTCACTGGATGAGATGATATCTCATGACTAATGATAGTGAGCATTTTCCATGTATTTGTTGGCTATTTGTATTATTTTGAGAAGTCTCTGTTCAGGTCATTTGCCTATATTTTAATTGGATTGCTTGTTTTCCTGTTAAGTGTTTTAGTTCCTTATATACTGGATGTTAATCCTTTGTCATATGAATAATTGGTAAATATTTTCTCCCATTTGGTAGGTTATTGCTTCACTTAAAAAAAGTAATAGTGTCATAGCTCAGGTCTCCATTTGATGCATTTTGAGTTGGGTTTTTGTGCAGGATAAGAGTAAGGGGTCAAGTTTCAGTCTTCTGCAGATGGGTAAATAGTTTTTTCCCACTCTAAAGAGTGTATAATTAATACATGCTATCTCCAAGGTAGGTTAGGGACCTTTGTCAAGAGTCAGCTGGTTGTTCTTCCTGTTGTTCTGCAGCTTCTTCTCCTCCTTCCTAACCATAGAACCTCGAATTCCCCTGGCCCAAGTGGGAAAAGGTTCTACCACCTCATTACTTGCCCACATCTGGGACAGAGACTTTGTCCTTGCCACCTCTCTCTTTGACACCATATCCAACATGTTCACAATGATCGGCAGTTTCCTCCCTCTAGCATGTCCTGAATCCACCCCTTCTCTGTTCCGTTGACACTCTTCAGCCTAGGTCCTCAGCATTGCTTACATGGAATGCTGTCTGGGCTCCTGCAAGGCTCCTGCTTCAGTCTCCAGCCCCTCCAGCCCTGCTCCCATATTGCTTCTAGAATACAGTCATCACTGTGCTGAGCAGGTTAAGTGGCTTCTCATGGCATTCAGGGTATGACATATGAAGTTTTTGTTATGCAGGCCTTCTTTATGTCTTCATGTCTTGTTATTCCAATGTTTGCACTGTACCCCACCATACAGAAAGACTTTCTGGTTCCTAGTACAGACACCTCTGTGTCTTACAGGTGCTCCTTGTGTGACTCTTCATTTCCTTCTTTTTTTTTTTTTTTGGTGGTCCTGGGGTTTGAACTCAGGGCTTCACACTTGCTAGGCAGTTGCTCTACCATTTGAGCCCTGCCACAGCCTTTTTTGCTTTAGTTATTTTTCAGATAGGGTTTCGTGCTTTTTTCTAGGGTCAGCCTTGGATGAGGATTCCCCTATTTCTGCCTTCCACATAGCTGGGATTACAGATGCACACCACAACTTCTGGCTCATTTGTTGAAATGAGATCTCATTTAACTTTTTGCCCAAACTGACTTCCATCCACAATCCTTCCAATCTCCCCCTTTTGAGTAGCTGGGATTAGTGGTATGAGCCACCACCCCTGGCCTCTTTCTCATTGCTTGCTTGGCTCTCTTGTGTTTCTTTAGGCTTCAGCCCAGGTATGTCCTTCTCTGGAAAGCCTTCCTTGATTTCTTCATCTGGATCAGGTGCCATCTGTGTCACCCCAGTGTCCTGTGTTTATCTCTTCTGCAAGGCTACCCTTCTGCCTGGCCTCCACAGGATGGAGGTGACTGGGTGTGAGGTCTACTCTCAAATCACCATAGCCTGTTACCTGCTGTATATCCTGCAAATAGAAACTGCAGAGAAAATAGAAAATGTGCTTGCACTGAATGAATCATAACTCCTAATCCAGGTTCTTGCTGCAACAACTTGAGAAAATTTCCACAGTTTATTTGCATTTTGAGCAATTCGGTAATGGAGGATGTAGTCATTAAGTCAAAGGATCTTAATGAATCTCTGTGAAACTTGAAGACATTAGAACACCATGTGGATTAACTATTGTGTAACTCTGTATGTGTGGCCCTGACTATATCATTTAGACCGACACTTACACAGTGATTTTTTAGAATGAAATGTTTTGTTGCTTTTTATGTTTTATTTTAACTTAAGAACTTTTTAGGAAAAAGAACATACACATTTTATTATATGCCTAAGCACAGAAGGCTTTTTTAAATTCTTAAACCTTTCTCCAAATTTTTATTCTGTTGTAATTATAATGTTATATGCCCATTTATAGCTCTCAATAGCCTATTCTTTTTTTTTTTTTTTTTTTGTGGTACTGGGGTTTGAACTCAGGGCCTTGTACTTCCTGGGCAGGTGCCCTACACCTGAGCCTGCCCCCAGTCCTTAATATCCTATTCTTTTTTCTTTTTCTTTGGTGGACTGGGAATCAACTCAGGGCTTCAAGCTTGCAAAACAGGTGCTCTATCATTTGAGCCCACCTGCAGTCCATTTTTCTCTGGCTATTTTAGAGATAGGGGTTTCTTGAATTATATGCCTGTGTTGGCCTCAAACACAGTCTCCTAGATAGCTAGGATTACAGGCATGAGCCACTGGCATCTGCCTAATACCCTATTCTTGACATCAAGAGAAAGGCATCTGATGAAACTCCTTGGAAAGTTCTTTTTTTAGAATCTGTTATGGTTTGAACAGATTTGATGAGCAAGCAGTTGTTTGGGAATGAGAAAAACATAAGAGCCATTTAAAAAATTCCAGGAGAAAATAGTTGCTTTATTTCGTTTGTTTTTGGTGGCGCTGGGGATGAAACCTAGGACCTCATATGTGCTGGGCCAGTGCTCCACCAGCTGCATTGCACTCCCAGCCAGCACTTTGCTTTTGAGAGAGTTCTGTGCTCACAGTTGGCTACTTGGAGGAGGGAAATCTGCCCCTGAGCCATCTTTACTTTTACAACACACAATCTCACTTCACTTCCTGCAAGCCAGTATCAGCTTTCTTTCGCTGTGTTTTTAAATATAAATAACAAGATTTATGCCTCCTTTTTATAAAGTGTTCATGTGTATACAGTATTGAAATTTTCCCCTCTAGGGTAATTGTGCAAGCTTCTTTTTGCTTGTTTAATCTGCCACTGGCTGACTTGGTTGATGCAGATTTACTGAAGTTCAATAGACAGTAAGTATATTTATTCAGATATTAACTATAAAAATGCCACATGTAGGCAGGACCTATAGGAGTTTCCCTATCTTAGTTATATTAACATGACAAATCACATACTGGAGAGGTGATCATAAGATGATTGTAAGAGATGACATGGGGGATCAAGGGACAGAATATCATAGGTTGTTCACATTTGTTTGCCCTGGGCAACTTTTTCCTATTTTCTGAAAGGGTGCCACAGCAGGGTTAAAGGTCAGAAACCACAGTGGAATCTTGGTTCTCTGTTCTCTGTGTTGCAAGGTGCACTGTGATAAGGTGAAGTAACCTTCGCTCTGTGGTGTTACAAGAATTAAAACGAAAAGTCAAGATCACTGCATCCCTTCTTTCTTGAATGAGTCTACTCTCATTTTTATTCTTTGGTGGAGTTATAAGTGTTTAGATCGGCTATAAAATTCTTTAGCTTGGCAAATATTTTTCTGATGTGTCCCATTTCATGGATGAGAGAGGATGTGTTATTTTAAGACAGAGACACATTCTTTATTAGCTTGGTAGAAACATTTATATTGCATGGCCTTTTTTTTTGACGGTATGTAGTTTTGAGCTCAGGGCCTCGTACTTCTAGGCAGGCTCTCTACCACTTGAGCCACACCCCCAAGCCCTTTTTTACTTTAGGTTTTTTCAGGTAGGGTCTGGCATTTTTGTCTGGGGCTGGCCTGTACCTTGATCCTCTGACCTATGTCTCCCATGTAGCTGGGCTGTGCATCACCACATCCAGCTTTATTTTGTCATTGTTGACACTGGGGTCTAGCTAACTCTTCCCCTCAATCACCTCCAGAGTAGCTGGGATTACAGGTATGTACACACCCAACCACCATTTTTTTTTAAATGCAACTTAAATTTAGGACTTTCCCCACTGCATGAACTTTCTATAACTCCGGTTTCAGGGACTTGTTGCAAGCTCATAGTTGCAGTGATGAACTGCTAGTGAACTCCATACAGTGCAGGGCCATATCTTCACTTTTGTGTCCCCAGTGCCTAGAAAAGTGACTGGTTCAAAAGCTTTTTCTTTGCTTTTTTTGGCGGTACTGGGGTTTGAACTCAGGGCCTCAGACACTCTACCACTTGAGCCATGCCCAAACCCTTTATTTTTAGTTTGTTTTTGAGATAGGATTACAGTTTTTGTCCAGGACCAGCTTTGGACCTCAATCCACCATGCCTGACCCTTTGTTTTTTTTGCAGTACTGAGGCTTGAACTCAGGGCCTATACCTTGAGCCACTCTACCAGCCCATTTTGTGTGAGATAGGATCTCATGCACTATCTGCCCAGGCTGGCTTTCAACTGTGATCCTCCTGATCTCTGCCTCCTGAGTAGCTATGATTACAGGTGTGAGCCACCAGCGCCCAGCTCTTTTTTCTTTTTTAAGGAGTAAGTTAACAAGCAGTGGCTTCAGTAAACACCTCCCAAATTTTATTTTGGTGTGGGGATTGAACCCATGCACTCTACCACTGGACTGTACCCCAGCCCTCAAATTATTTTTGAATCACATGGGTTACAAATCAATTGGTCTGGGCATGGTGGCACATGCCTGTAATCCCAGCTACTTGGAAGGTGGAGGTAGAAGGATCATAGCTAGGGCCAGCTTGGGTCTGAAAAACAAACTAGAAACAAAAGGACTTGGGGGCATGGCTCAAGTGGTAGAGCACTTGCCTAACAAGCAAGAGGCCCTAGTTCAATCCTCAGTACCACAAACAAACAAACAAAACCAAGAAACCCAAATAAATAAAACGTGTCAAGCAGTTGGAAAGAAAAGGGCACTGCTGTTTACCAAATGCTGCATTGGCGCCACATGGCCACCTGCCCAGTCATGTTTCCCAGCAACCTGAGCAGTAGACATTATTGACTCAACAAATACTTATTGACTGCCTCCTGTGTGTCAGGCAATATGGGAAATAGCAGGTCTTGTAACAAACTCTTCAGGTTACCCGATGATGCTCTGTTCCCTCTAAATTACACCTACTTATGTGCCTGGTGTGCTACGGTGGTGATTAATGGCCACTTGAGGACTAATGACTGCTCAGTTGTATCCACATTAAGGATCAGTCAGGCTGGGTGCAGTGCCTCACATCTGTAATCCCAGCTACTTGAAAGGCAGAAATCACAAGCATTGTGATTTGAGGCCAGCCTAGGCAAAAAGTTAGCAATACCACATCTTAACCAATAATCTGTGTGTGAGTGTTTGCCTGAATCCCAACTACTCCAGAGGTGGAGGTAGGAGGATTGTGGTTTGAGGCCAGCTCTGGACAAAAATACAAAATCCAGTCTGAAAAATAACTAGAGCAAAACAGGCTGGAGGCATGGCTCAAGTGGTAGAGCACCTACCTAGCAAGTGTGAGGCCCTGCATTCTAACCCAAGAACCTCCAAACATAAAAATTAAAAGAAAAAGTCAGTGAATGAGGCCCTGGGTTTGATCCTCAGTACTTGTAAAAAAGATAATAAAAATAAAAAATTAGTCAGTGTTTTTATTTCAAATCTGTTAATTTCAGATGTACTTGTTATTATAATTATAAAAGAATTACATTTAGATTTTATAAACTTAGGAAATGAAAGTTAGTGCTAAAACCCAAGCTGCTTTAGAAAGATTTGATAAAGATCACTTGTAAAAAGTCACCATCAAGTTGGGCGCTAGTGGCTCCATGTCTGTAATCCCAGCTACTCAGGAGGCAGAGATAGGAGGATTGGGGTTCAAAGCCAGCCCAGGCAAATAGTTCGTGAGACCTGATCTCAAAAAAAAAAGTCACACGAAAGGACTGGTGGAGTGGCTCAAGTGGTAGAGTGCCTGTCTAGCAAGCGTGAGGCCCTGAGTTCAAACCCCAATGCTGCCAAAAAAAAAAAAGGTACCATCAGACTTGTGGTGAGAACTGTACATGACTTGGAAGTCCTAAAACCCTCAAGAATTCTGTTCTCAGACTGTTTCGTAAACAGCTGCAGGCTTTCTCTATACCTGACAGCAGAACCTGTAGGCCATGCCACATGGATGCTTTTTATGCAAGGAAGATGGCCCTGACTTCGGTCAGTGGGCCAGTACTCAAAGAAAACCCAAAGGAGAGACAGGCAAGTGAATAGTGATGTTAATTAAAGTAGAATGACTAATGTCCCTTTTTAAAATAGAATTTTCTTTTGCATAGTCAGCTGTCTTGATCATGTCAGAGAGCAAGACTACATAGTAGCAAGACCAGGCGTGACCCTTGCTCTCATGGCACATCTAGTCCAGTGGGGAGACAGACAGTGATTATGGTACTGTGCCATCTTAATTATCCCCAGTTGCAGGAAACTAAGACCCTGAGGTTTAACTTTCCCAATGAATATAATCTGTGGAATGTGGAGCTGGGAATCAGACCCTAGCTCTGACCATCATATCAAATGCCCTCCAACTCCCTGACCTCTTCTTTCTTTCCTTTCTTTTCTTTTTCTCACCTTTCATTCTTTCTCTTCCTTTCCTTTGTCTTCTTTTTCTCCTCCTTATTTGCAAGGCTTCCATTAGTAGTTGAAATACAAGATTTCATTTTATTCAGTCATTCCCTTTACTCATTACATATGATATGATTATAGAAATTAAGAGCAGGATTCTTATTAAGAATACATTAAAGTAATCCTTACAGAAATTTGGGAAGAAAAATGTGGGCATGAATTCCAGTTCTACCATTTATTAGTCATGTGAGGGGTGGTGAGGCCATCAGCTCTCCCATCTCTAAAGAAGAGGTAGCAATCACATCTTCCTCATGGGATTGTTGGATGAAACAATACATGTAGCCCACTTAACACAGCACAGGGTGCACCCAGTGCTCACTGAGCATTTATAAGGATGGCTGTATCTTCTCTCTTTGTTTCTTTAAGAGTTAAGCTCTGTTGTTCTAGAATCCCTCATCACTAAGGGGTTAATATTTTATATCTGTTTCTGTTTACTTAGATCAAGGGGGACTTCATGGATGAGGAGGTCCCTGATATGTAGATATATACATAAATGCTTTCACTCTTAAACACACATGCACATGAATTCATGTGGGATAAAGACCCCTGCTATTCTTGTCTGTTCCAGGTCACCCCTCTCTTCAATGGTTTTGGTCTCAATGCATTGCTTACCAGACCTGCTCAGTCATTAGCTCCCATGATGGTACTGTCTAAGATAAGCCAGTATGGATATGGAGACCCAAACAAGAGGTAAAGTGCAAAACCTTTGCAGTCGTGAAAAGGGAATCTGAAGGGAAACTCAGCCTTTCTTCACATTGGTTACTAGGCAATCATCTTGGACTTCAGATACTATTTATTAGTCATTAACTCATATATCTCGAACAAGCTGCTAGAAAAAGTCCATAGAATATCTCTAGTACTGTAATTTTTAAAATTACATGTACATGCCTATATAATTTGCATTAAGCTACATACTGATTGTTTTATCTAAGTCATTCATTAATTCATTTGTCTTTCATTTTACAAGTGTTTTCAAGACCTGCTATTATATGTCAGGTACAAAGGTGCTGGAATGTAAGATGAGTGAGAAAACTGTAAAGGGATCTACTGACTACAAAACCTGATAAGGCCCCACCAGATGTGTGCTGGGTGCTGGGGTGATATGAAGGAGAGGTCAGGGAACATATCACAGGGACGGGGTGGTGGAGCACTGACTTTTGGATCCTGACTTGGAATTCATCCTTCGAACATGGAAGGAATACCATTCCAGGTGAGGAAAACAGAGTGACAAGGGTCTGGAAACCTGGAGCTCTCAGTAAGCTGTTCATTTATTTATATAACAAATAAGATTGAGAGCCTGCCAAGCCCTAGGCTGTGTGATATGGCAGTGAGGTATAGCAGTGCATAAAACAACTGCTCTCTCTGCCCTTGCCAAGCTTACATCTAGTGGGAAGGTGCAGGCAAGACAGTAAGTGACACTCATAGTATATTAGGAGGTAAAATGTTCTCTGTGGAAAAAAAGCAAGGGGTGCAGAAAGCAGCATTTTAAATAGGGTGATGGAGAAGTCTTCACTGAGAAAGTGGCATTTGAATAAACAACTGAAAAAATAGGGGAGGGAACCATGGAGGCTCTCTAGGGGAAAAGTGTTCCTAGCAGAAGCTGTGGCAGGTGCAAAGACACTGGGGTGCAGCATGACTGACATTCTAGGTCAGGCAGAGGCAGCACAGCTGGAGCAGAGTAAGCAAGAGGGAGGGAAGCCATGATGGGGAGGGAGGCCAGACCACACAGTCCTGCAGTCCTGTCTTGCTACTTTGGTTTCACTGCCAGTTGAATGGTGATGATGACATAGTGAAGAGTTGATTGATTGAATAGACTATTTTTAGAGCAGTTTTAGATTCATGACAAAATTGAGCAGAAAATGCAGAGTTCCTGTATGCTCCTAACTTCCCTCACCTCCCTAGCCGCCTACATTATCAATGTCCCCTACTGGAGTGGCATTGATGACCCTACACTGATGACCCTACACTGACTCTTCATTATTACCCAAAGTCCACAGTTCAGATGGAGTTGTTCATTCTGTGTGTTTGACATGTGTCCACCATCATAGTGTCATGCAGACTGTTCTCACTGATCCAACAATCCTCTGGGCCCTGCCTATTTGTTCCTTCCTTCTCACTAACACCTGGTAACTACTGATCTTTTTACCATCTTCATAGTTTTGCCTTTTCCACAAACATAACACAAATGGGGAGTGGGGAGAGGGACAAGAGAGGGTGGTGGAGACTGAATATGATTGAACTGCATTGTAAACAGGTATAAAAATATCTTAAGAAAACACATTATTTTGTACAATAAAAAAGGTAAGTCAAATCAGGTCATTACTCCACTCAAAACTCTCCAATCACAATTCTGTTATTCCTAGGAAATATACCTATACTATCAGAGGTAAGGTGCCATTGTATTTGCAGCTTGCCTTAAAATGGTTCAGAGAACAAAATACACATGCATACATACACATGCAAGCACACATGCACAATGTTAACAATTCTAGAATCTAAGGAATGACCATAGGATTTTCTCTGTACTTTTCTTTAAACTTTTTTGTGTGGTTAAAAATTTTCATATTAAAAAGTTGTGAGACTGGGCTGGAGGCGTGCCTACCTAGTAAGCTCAAGGCCATGAGTTCAAACACCAGTACTACCAAAAAAAAGTAATAAGTTGTGTGGAAAAACACCATGGTTTGGTTGATAAATAGAAAGATGAATGTGTTTAGCAGTATATGATAAAGCTAATGTCGGTGAGATGTAGACAGTTAAATACCAAAGTGTTCATTGTACAACTTTTTCAACATTTTTGTATAATGCTGGAGGGGAAAGTTATGAGAAGTTTTTTTTCTTTTTAAAGTAAATCCCTGTCAATGTAGAAAATTCAGTAGAAATGACAAAAAAAGATAGAAAGTCAAATTCATGAAACCAAGAAGTGATTATAGAAAGTTATAAAATATAAGATTACCATTCAAAAGTTAATCTCCTTCTTACTACCAGCAATAAATAAGTAGAATTTCAAATGAAAAGTACGATAGCATTTACATTAGTAACCCGAAATATGAAATACTTATGTATAAGTCTAACAAAATATGTACAAGATCTATATGAGAAAAAACACAAAACCTTTATAAAAGAAATAAAAAAAAGGACTAACTAAATGGAAAGATGACTCATGTTCACGGAAAGGAAGATTCAATACTTTGTCAATTCTTTCCAATTTCATCTATAGATTCAATGTATTCCCAGTCCAAATCCCAGCAAGTTATTTTCTAGATACTGAAATTTTGATTCTAAAAATAACCAGGGCAACATCAGGGTAGAAAAAGTTAGAGGACTAACATTACCCTAACTTTGAGACTTACCATGAAGCTACAGTAACCAACACTGGTGAAAAAAGCAGACAAATAGATCAGTGGAACAGAACAGAAAGCCCAGAATATGCCCACACAAATTTTGATAAAGGAGCAAAGGCAACACAGGGAAGAAAAGATAGTGTTTTCAACAAATAGTGCTGAAACAGAGGGCGTCTGCAAAATAGATAAATCTGGACACACCCTTCCCAAAAACTAACTCAAAGTGGATCATAGACGTGAATGTAAAATGCAAATCAATTATGCTTCTAGAAGATAACACACAAGAAAACCCAAGTGATCATGGTTGTGACAATGGCTTTTTAGATACACCATTAAAGGTATGGTCCATAAAAGAAAGAACTGAGGAGCTGGACTTAAAACTAAAAACTTCAGTTCTGCAAAAGATACTGTCAAGAGAATAAGAAAAACAAGCCACAGACCAGGAGAAAATAGCTGTAAAAGAAATATTTGCTAAAGGACTGCTATCCAAAATAAACAACTCTGAAAACTCAGCCATAAGAAAATGAGCTGGAAGGGTGGCTCAAGTGGCAGAGTGCCTGCCTAGCAAGCATGAGACCCTAAGTCAAACCCTAGTACCACCAGAAAATGAGCAACCTGATTTAAAATGGTCAAAATACCTGGACAGGCACTTCAACAAAGATGTACAGATAAAAAAATAAGCATATGAAAAGATGTCTCGTATCTTACATCATCAAGGAATTTCAGATTAAAACAATGAGGTACCACTACAAACCAACTAGAATGGCCAAAATCAGAACTGACATCAGAAAATGCTGGTGAGGACATGGAGCCACAGGAACTCTAACTTAGCACTGATGGGGAAGGAAAATGGAATAGTGGAGAATGGTTTAGAAGTAGAGCTTGAGCAGTATAGACTTGGTCCTAAAGGAGTGGAGGATGGTAATTAGCAAACAGGAGTAAAAATATCAGACCTGCTGTGTAAAGGATCACCTGCAGTATGGAGGCTTGATTGAAGGGAGTCAACCCTTGACATGATTTTATATGAGAAATGCTGGAGTGACCAAGTAAAAGCAGTGTAACAGGGAAGGAAGGCAAGGAGGAGGAGACTGAGGTGAGAGGAGTCAAGGTTTCAGGATCAGCAGAAGATGGTGATTGCTGATTACAGAGGCACAAGCAACTGGGGAATTGTATACTAAGAAATGAGTAACGTTGCAAATGATGAAAAGGGGATTAAGGAATATGATAGAGGGGATAAATTTGATCAAAGTACATTGTAAGCAGGTATGGAAATATTCCAGTGAAACCCCTTTATACAATTAATGTATGCTAATAAAAAATTATACCCTCACCATTTCCAATAAGCTTCTCCCCTTCTTTATTAAAGGACCCTTGATTTTATTTATTTTTAACCAACAAAAATGTACTATGATGTATTACGTGAAGTTTGGAAATAGATATGTATTGCAGAATGGTTAAATTGAGCTGTCGAGCATACCTGCCATCTCGTACATCTATTCTTTCTTTTCCTGTGTGGTAAAAGCATTTGAAATCTTCTCTCACCCATGTTCAGTTACACAGTGTATACCCATAGACACTATGTTGTACAAAAAATTAGGACATTAATCTTTTTATGAGTTAAAACTATAGTCTTCTACTTTGGGAAACAGCATAGACTTGGTAATTTTACTAAATAATTTTTCTTAATATAAAAGTGAAATGGGCATCTGAAGGTCATCAATGTGGACTGCTGTGGATCATGTCTCCTCTGTAGCATCTGAAGGACTCCCCAGCTCTGTCCCTCCATGTACTAGCTCACTGTTTTCTATCTACGCTGGGAAAGTTGCTCAAAGTCCGAATAGCATTAAAAGACTCAACCAGTCTTGGGGAAAACTTTGTTGGCTCAAGGGGGACAGGAACAGCCTCTGGGTTAGAAGACATCCAAAGCCTCGTAGCCCCTGTTGTAACTTATCTGCAGGTCTATGTGACAGCAATGGAGGAAGAGCGGGTGTGTTTAAATTGTCCCAGAAATGTCTTTGTAGTCTCAACACATAGCTCTTGCACATTAGAATTGCTTGGAGACAAGGCCTGAACCAGGTCACACCTTAGACCAGTTGTTAGATCAGCCTCTGGAGGCAAGATCCAGGCACCAGCATCTTTTAAATTCGCTAACCTTGTGTCTTTGTGTGGCCAGTGTGAGGAAACTAGAGATGTCTGCCATGGAAATGACAGTTCTAAGGACTAATCTTGTTGACTCTGCAAAGTGACATGTTGGCAAGCTAGTTTCATGACATCATAAGCAGTTTTTCGAGGTATAAATTCAACAGGGCCCGTAAGTACCATATTGAGTGATGATTAAACCTTGGTATCCCACGGCCTCACATAACTAATGCTAACCTGAAGGTGTCTGACTAAAGTCCAGAGGCTGACAGAACGCTTAGCAAGGTGAGGTGTGACGATCAATGAGTATTGTGAAACCCACAGGGTGAAGAGCTGAGCAAAAGTGTGTCTTTGAAATGCATTTCATACATGCAAATCCCCTTCCTACTATCTGATTATTATTTTGCTGTTACAGTATTTAGAACTGTATAGCCCAGGGGATTGTCCTTTCCCTTGCTATTTTCAAAAGACATTTTGATTCCGTGATACTGCTAAAGAAACATTGGTTCTGCAGGGCAGGTTATTTCACTGTGCTTAATAGATCTATTTACTTCTTAGTGATGCAAGCAGCCAATGTTTGCTGTTCATGGAGGTCTGTAACTGGGGTACCTGGGTGACATACCTCTTCTGAAGACTGGCATCAGCTACTTCATGTAATAATGTTAGAAATGGATCAATTATTTCATTCTTGCATTAGCTGGTGCTCAGTGGTAGAACACTTGCCTAGCCCCTGGTTCCATTCCCAGCACCAACAAACAAGCCAAAAATACAAGCCCACATTTTCACAAAAAATATACAATGAGTGTAGTACTTATAGCAAAAGGGCCACTCCTTCTATTCAGCCAACTAAGCATGCTCATGCTTTTTCTTTAGCACACATTTCTAGAGTTTCTAGTAGGTTTTAATTTTGAGCTGGGAGCTGGGAACAGAGGTAAGGCTTGACTCCTCTCTGTCCATGGAGCTCACATGGTATTCATGAGTGAGGCAGAGGGACAAGTCCAGTACAATGAGCTAAGACCAGGCGTGAGATAAGCTGCCATTGAGATGGAACACAAGCTTGGTGCTGGTCTACTGTCTGTTACCGGGTACAGTGACTTCAGTGTCCTGTAGCCCCACCAAACTTTGATGCCTGGAAGGAGATTCTGGAGTACGAAGACAGATGTTCACTAGTGGTCAGAGTCTGCCAGTTTATCTGTTTAGTTATAGTGTCATCTGTTCAAATCTTGTGGCTAACCCAAATAAAATGCATTACTGATGAAATAGCTTTCTATGATCAATCTGCTATGTATACAAGCATTTTTTCCCTTTTTTTTTTTTTTACAGTACTGGAGCTTGAACTCAGGGCCAACACCTTGAACCACTCCACCAGCCCTTTTTTTTGGGATGGGTTTTTTTAGATAGGGTCTCAGGAACTATTTGCACAACCTGGCTTCAAATCGCGATCCTTCTGAGCTCTGCCTCCTGAGTAGGTAGAATTACAGGCATGAGTCACTGGCACTGGCTTCTTCTTCTTCTTCTTCTTTTTTTTTTTTTTTTGAAGTGTTGATGATAAACCTAGGGCATGCTAGGCAAGCACTTTACCATCGAGCTCTCTCCCAGCCCTACAAGTGTGTTTTTATAATTATATCAGTAGCATCCCTTTTGTTTTTCTACTGAAAACTTCATGATACTTCCAAAATTATACACATGAAGACAGTTTAGAAAGTGACTTTTCTCTCAGTGACATAGTAAAGACTATGATCTTCAACTTTAGCAAAGAAACATACTCAAAATGAATTGTCTCAGATCATCTACAAATAAAAAATAATCTGAGGCTTTATCTTTTAAGAAATGAAAATATCCCTGGTATCTAATTATATGTGGCTAATCATTCAAATAAAATTTAAAGCCATGTTTTTTTTTAACAAGAGCTTTCCATAGAGATTCAGTGGCATTAGAACTAAATTTGTGTTTTATGCAGTGCTGGGTCACCTGGAGGGCCGAGCATGGTGATATATGCCTATAATCCCAGTTACATGGGAGGCCGAGGTAGGAGGATTGTGAGCAGAGGCCAGCAAGGCCAAAGCACAAGACCCTGTCTGAAAAAAAGAAAAAGCCAAAAACTAAAAGCAAAAGGACTGGGGGTGTGGCTCGAGTGGTAGTTCCAGCTCTAGAGTCACTAGCTGTGTAACTTAAGACAGTTTAATTGACCTGTGTAAGGCCCCATGTCATCTGCAGGTTGTGAAAATTAGCAGCAGTGAGAGAAAAGCATCAAACAAAATGAGAATGCCAGCACTGAATTGTGTCTCTCAAAGTTCATATACTAAAGCCCTAACCCACAATGTGATGACATTTGCAGATGGCTGTTGGGAAGTAATTAAGTTTAGAACAGGTTATGAGGGTGGGGCCTGCATGACAGGGCAAGTGCCTCTATAAGAAGAGATTCCAGGGGCCAGGGTGGAGCTCAACAGTACAGTGCATGCTTAGTATGTATGAAGCCCTGGGTTCATGCCCCAGCATGAAAAAAGAGGAGGGTGCTGGGGGTGTAGCTTAGTGGAAGAGTGTTTGCCTAGCATGCAAGAGGCCCTAGGCTCGATCCCCAACACCACCAAAAAGCAACTCCCACTCCACCCCCACCCGCCCCACACAGGAACATGTTCTCTCTCTTTCTATGCCATGCAAGGATCTAACTTCTTGTGTGCAAGTCCGGAAGAGGACCCTCACTAGAGTTTGATTGTGTTTGTCCCTGATCTTGGACTTCTAGCTTCCAGAGCTATGAGAAAATAGAATTTTATGTATTAAGCTCCCAAGTAAGCTGTGCTCCAGCACCAGGCACACAGTAAGCCTGCAATACTTGTTATATCATTATTTTATATATATATATGGAGGTGTTTCACTATGTTGCCTAGGCTGGTCTTGAACTTGAGGTTGTCCTGGAGTGATGAGATCATAGGCATGTACTGCATGCCCAGCCTTGCCATTATTTTTCAAAGAACTCGTCAGGTTGATCCTAGAAAGGGGAAGTTCCTTCTCTATTGAGATGCCAGCTTTTTACATGGCCTCAAGTATTTCTGATCCCAGTTCAAGAGACTGTCCCACCATGTGACCTTGCTAAACTGCTTTCAATCCTGAGCACCTCTGTCCTCTGCAGGGGTTTCATTGACTTTCTTGCAACTCCATTGACAGGATTATCTATTTTATATTAATGGTGACAAAGCTATTTCACTGATGCTGTCAGGAAACAGCCTCATTAATTCACACTTTCTCGAGCTGATATTGACAGGGGAAAAAGAGTAGAAAGGAGCCAGGCTCCCCATTCGTTTTGTGATGAGGGTTTGAGGTAAGTATGGTAATTTACATTATGGCCCCTTTACTACATAGTGTTGACTTTACACGTGGTCTAGCAGGTAGAAGCTAAAAAAACGAGGGAAAGGGCACCAAGCAGTAATATTTTAGGATGTTATTTTTTGAAAGGAGAAGATTGAGAGAGAATATTGGGTGCATAAAATTTTCCCATAAGCAGAGGTGCAGTTGTTATTATAAGATGATATTCAATATATTTGTTTATGGTCTCTTTGCTCCACTTGTTCAGGTGCAAGGACTGTTGATTTATTTACTCTGTATCCCAAGTTCCTAAAACAAAAAGTGTGCAATAAATATTTGGCAAACAAATGAAGGCATAAATAGTGTGTAAGAATTATTTTTCTAGTTGGGAGATGGTGGAGTGGCTCAAATGGTAAGAACACCTCCCTAGCAAGCATGAGGCCTTGAGTTCAAACCCCAGTATGGCCAAAAAAAATTATTTTTCTAGTTGGGTGTGGTGGCACACATCTATAATCCCAGCACTCAAAAGGTGGAGGGAGGAGGATTGTCAGTTTGAGGCCAGCTGGGCTATTGTAGCCTGGGCTAGCAAGTGAGAAGCCCCAAGTTCAATCCTCAGTATTGCCACACACACACACAAAATCCACTAAACTCAAAGATTTTTTTCTCCTTTTTTTTCTGGAGGTATTGGGGTTTGAACTGAGGGTATATCACTTGCTAGGTAGGTGCTCTACCTCTTGAACCATGCCACCAGCCCTTAATGGAAGTTCTTAGCAGAAACTTAGACCATGTCACTTTGAATGTTGTTATTAATTATGAAATTCTCTCATTTTGTTGAGTGGATCGGTGCTAGAAATGAGTGCCTGAATACTCCCAGACTTCGAAGATCATTTTGAAACATACATGAGCCTAGGCTTTGTGCCTCGCCTCTGTTCTTTATCCTCCCAGGCATGTATGTGGCAGTGGCACTTGTCACCAGGTATTGCCATCACAGTTTACATATCACCTTCCTCTCGCATGAGCAACTGAAAGGAAGAGATGATTTACTTACTCAATAACTGGAAAGAGTCAAAACTAGGTGATGAAATGTCTTTTGCTTTTTTTTGGGGGGGTACTGAGGTTTGAACTTAGGGCCTCACGCTTGCTAGGCAGGTGCTCTATCACTTGAGCCACTCCTCTGTCCCTTTTTGTGTGTTGGGTATTTTTTAAGATATGGTCTTGAGTACTGTTTGTCCCAGCTGGCTTCGAACCAGGATCCTCCTGATCTCTGCCTCCTGAATAGCCAGGATTTTACAGGAGTGTCACCTAGCTATCTTTTACTTCTTAAATGGGCTCATAGATAAGAAAAATTACTGAAACTTTTTGTTAAATAGCTTTGAATTGATAAGACAATACACTACTGGAAAAAAAGTAACTGTTGACATCTTCTCCCTAGTATACTTCTGGATCTTCAAGATGCCATGTTTAGCTTGGTTTGCCTGGTCCCGCTGGGCATCGCAGTGGTCCAGATTCTGGTTTGGAGCTTTTTCTCCATCAGGAGCAGGACAGACTACACAGGGATTCTCTGAGCACAGTACCAGGGCCGTGGGAGTCAAACACTGCTCAGGTGTATGTTGGTTCTTACAGAGTTGGCATTGTACCGAAGGCAAAACTCATCCTTACAGTTGCTAATTTGTTTAGAAAAAAATAAAGTAAAAAATTTCAATAAGGTTCAGGGCTTTTGACTCTCTCATTTAAATACAAGTTAAGACCTCTCTATTGGCTGCTTCTAAATGGGCTTGTAGCCTGAACACACCTGTAACTCCTCACCTGTGCATTGATATGTGAGTTGCTTGGCGTTTCCCAGAGCCCACCTGGCTAGGCATGCCAACTCCATTTGTTTATTTTATCTCACTTATTTGAAGACAGAGTCTCTGTAGCCCAGATTGGCCTTGTCTCAGCTTCCTGAATACTGGGATAGTGGGTGTGTGCCACCACATCTGGCTTCTCTTTTATCTTTTAAACCTAATATTGCTTCTCTGACCAGTCTTATTAGTGAGACACCCGACCCCCATTTTTTCTTTGATACTGCACCACCATTGTCTGAGGATTGCCCTGTGATTAAGAGTGGGGAAGGTCATCACACTCCCTCATTTTGAAATATGTTATAAAGACACATCTACCAATGGGACAGACTAGAAAGCCCAGAAATAAAACCATACACTAACAGTCAACTGACCTTTAACAAAGGGACCAAGTGCACACGCTGGGGAAGGCCAGTTTCTTCAGCAAATGATGTGGGGAAAACTGGGTGTCTGCATGCAGAAGGATGTAGCCCAGGATGGACTGGAACTGTGATCCTCCGCTTCAGCCTCCTGAGTGCTGGCATTACAGGTAAGTACCACCACACCTGGCTTCCCTTTTGTTTTCTTAGACCTTTCTAAGAAGTTGCTTTCTCAATTGGCTTGGCAGCAGATCCCTCAATTCAATCACCCACCTTCATTTAACTGACTCAGACTCTGTTATCTGTTCAGATTTCATGTGGCTGGTCTGATGACCAGCTCAGCCTCAGATGTGTACACATTAGTGTGCTGGAGACACTTAATAACTGACTCTTTGAAAAAAAATCATGCATACATAATTTTATTATAAATTTTACTGAAAAAGATGTATCAAATATGATGTACAAATAATAAAATGTGTCAGGGCTTGGGGTGTATTTCAGTGGTTAGAGCGTGTGCTTAGCATGCATGTGGCCCTGAGTTTAATCCCTAACATAAACAAACAAATAAATAAATAAATAAATAAATGTGTTGTACTTTCTATTGTAAATTCCATGTACCTGTAGTTTCACTATGATTTTCTCTTTCTTACAAATTCTCCTATACGCTTTTGTAATTCACAGCAGAGCCCCAAAATTGAAGCCTGAATAAATGGTGACACTACTCTTCAATTTAAGAAAGAAGTTCCTCACGCCACCATCTGTGGAGGGCACTTCCAACCTGAATGTTGCTCTGTGTTTTTGTCTGTGGTAATGCGTAAGGCAATGGCCAGACTCCGGGACTGATGCCTGTAATCTAGCTTCTTGGGAGGCAGAGATTAGGAGGATTGCTGTCTGAAGCCAGCCTGCACAAACAGTTGATGAAATCCTATCTCGAAAATACCTGATATAAAAAAGGGCTGGTGAAGTGGCTCAAGTGGTAGAATACCTGCCTAGCAAGTATGAGGCCCTGAGTTCAAACCCCAGTACCAAAAAAAAGATAGACCTACTTCAGAGCTTGGTCACCAATGATGCAGACAACTTCTTTGTTGAATTGAACGATAGGGATTGAATACTGGAAAGATGATGTCCTTCATTTTTTGTGCTTTTACAACATAATGGCTTGTATTTTGGATTTAATTTGCATTATTACTATTTTTGTTACCTTTTTTGTGGGGCTAGGGATCAAATCCAGGGCCCTGCACAAACCCAGGACCCATGCACTCTACCACTGAGGTACACTCCAGCACCTTCCTTACTACTTTCTTTCCACCCATTTTTATTAGCATATATTTGTTGTACAAAGGGGTTTCATTTTGATATCTCTATATGTGCATAGAATTAAATTCACCCCTCCTGTCACTCTTCTTCATCTCCCTTAAGTCTAGATCAGAGGTTGGCAAACTATACGCTATGGGCCAAATCTAACCTGTGATATGTTTGTGAAGCCTGAGATCTGACAGCCAAAGAAGAGTATATGAGAGGCCTTGTGTGGCTCACAAAGCCTAAAATATTATCTGGCTTTCCACAGAAAAAGTCTGCTGATCTCCAGTTTGGACAACCAGCAAAACAGAACAAAATAGTTTACACTGATTGCCATGGTGTTAACACTTTCACCATGGTGAATTTCAAACTACCAATATCACATCACTGAACACAGATCTGGGAAAAAATAAGCTGTAGCATCCTATTATAAAATATTTTGATAACATAGTCATTTATATGCTGTTATCCTACAAGCATAAATAATAGTTAAAAAACAAGCAATGAGTTTTGAATACCAATTTTGCTTTTAATCTAATTTACTCAATTGTAATGGCTGTTCAAAAACCAGCTTGAGAAATTCCTGAAAAGTAAACAGTTGGCTTTCACCAACTGGCATGAGCAGGGCCAGGGCCCAGCCTACCACTGGGTGTTCAACACAAGAGTTTTTTCCTGGTTGCTGTTCTTGGTCTGTGTGTGAGCATGTTTGATAAGAAAGAAAGGTAGGTGAATAGCCCTCGTTCCTATCCTGAGTTCTCTGGTCGCTTGCCAGGATGTTACAGTAAGAGAGTACAAAAAAGGTAGATTCCTCAAATTTATTTCCACATTATTTTTCCTGCAAAGTTCTCTTCCTGTGGTCTGAACCTGAGGAAAACTGGGCCTGAAGAGAATGACTGTGTTCTCTTCCAGAAAGGGTTAATAATCATGAATTCACCCTCAATCCTAAGAGGGGAGTTTAAGATTTGAAGTTTGGATTTGTGCCAGACAGATGGTAGATTATACCCAACCATATCAATATTACAGTAAATACAAATGGTTTGAACACACTAAGTAAAAGGCAGAGGCTGTTATATTGGATACAAATATGATCTAACCACATTCTATGTACAAACCTCACTTTAAAGATATGAACATGTTAAAAAGACAAAAAATGTAATGTAATCACTGATCAAAATAGCGTTGGAGTGGCTGTATTAATATCAAAGTGGACTTCAGAAGAAAGAATATTGCCAGGGATAAAGGAGGAGATCGCATAATGAAAAATGAGCCAGTTAACCAAAAAGACAAGTTAATCCTAAGTATGTATGACATAACGACAGAAATCCAAAAGGCATGAAGCAAAAACTGTTGCAAGAGAATGGAAAAATAGACAAATTCACAATTACAGGTGGAGGCTTCAACATTTCTCCCTCAGTAATCTACAGGACAATAGTCACAAAACCAGTAAGAACATAGAGGTGAGGTCAAGAAACTTGACCTAGAGCTGGTGGAGCCTCAAGTGGTAGAATGCCTGCCTAGCAGGCATGAGGCCCTGGGTCCAAACCTCAGTGCTACCCAAAACAAAACAAAACACCAAGAAACTTGATCTGCTTGACATTTATAGAGCACTCTGCCCAAAACCAGCACAATCTGCATTCTAAGTGAATATGGAACATTAACCAAAATAAACCATCTTCTGGACAAGAAAACAAATGACAACAAATGTAAAGGAATATAAATCTGGTTAAGTATGTCACAGGGTCACCATGGAACTAAATCAGTAACAGAAATGTCTGGGAGATCCCCACATGGGAATGGGGATTTCCAAAGAACCCATGGTTCAAAGAGGAAGTCACAGAGGAAATTAGAAACTATTTGAACAAAAATGAAAACATCAAAATTTCTGGGATACAGTGAAAACAATTCATAGAGGGAAAATTATGGCATTAAATGTTTACATTAGAAAAGAAGGGAACTGTACTGGTAGAGTTGCTCAAGGGGTAGATCACCTGCCTAGCAAGCATGAAGCCCTGAGTTCAAACTGAAGTACACCCCCCCAAAAAAAAAGAAAAAGAAAAGGGAACCAAACCAATGATCTATGCTTCTACTAACAAACTATGAAAAGAGCAGATTAAATGCAAATTAAGCAGGAGAAAATATCAGAAACCAGAAACATTGAAAAATCCCAGAAAAAGTGAAAAAGAAAATCAATTATGCCAAAAACTGGTTCAATTCTTGCCAGACTGTGAAAGAAAAGCGAAGACATAAATTTCCAATATCAAGAATGAATGAAGGGGCATTCATCCAGATTATATAGATACACAAATGATAGTAAGAAAATATTAGGAAATCTTTATACCAATACATCAGACAACTTAGATGTTTCCCAACAAAGAAAATTCCAAATCCAGATGTTTTTTTTTGGCAAATTCTACCAAATATTTAAGAAAGAAATACAGCTGGGCATGGTGGTGCATGCCTGTAATCTCAGCTGCTCAGGAAGCAGAAGTAAGAGGATCATGTTGGAAGACCAGCCAGAGCAAACATGCAAGACCCTATCTAAAAGCAATGAAATAAAAAGGGCTGGGGGTGTGGCTCAAGTGGTATAGCACTTGCCTAGCAAGTGTGAGGCCCCAAGTTCAAACCCCAGTGCCACCAAAAAAGTGGGGTGGGGGGAGAGAAAGAAATAAATTTTACACAGATTCTTTTAGGAAATTGAAAAGAATACTTCCAAGTTCATTTTATGAGACCAGTGTTACCCCGATACCACCACCAAAGACATTATAAGAAAAAGAAGCTATAGACCTGTTATCTTTTTTTTTTGCATCACGTTACATTTCACAACCATTATGTTAAATTTTTTTTTCTACAGAAACTAGACCTGTTATTCTCATGAAACTAGACACTACACAAAAGTCTTAAAATCTTAGTAATTCTAATCTAGCTAATATGAAAAGGATAATAAAGGTGACCAATGGGGCTCCTTATTGGAGTGTGGTCTTGATTCAATATTCAGAAATCAAAGTAATTCATCGTATCTACAAATAAAAGGATAGAATCCAAATAGCTATCTTAATTGATGCAGAA